TGTTGATGGAGGGAAATTAAACCCGACCAACGGTAATTATAACTGGAAGGCAGACAATTAGTTAAGCTAGTGTTCCTCCTTTTTCTGGGAAACCTAATGAAACTGGAGCTGCGGTTCTTTTTGGATCCACAGGAGAACTGGGTCACAAGCCCAGGATTTTTGTGTTTCATTAAACCTGGGTGTGAGCTGTTTTGTCAACTATTAACTATAGAAACTAGTCCGGCCAGTCTGTTTTGGGAAAAGCCAAAAGTCAAATGTGGTGTGCCGCTCATATTCTGGTGTTGGATTAAAAAAAAAAATCCAAAATTAAATATATTGTTTCTATACGTATACGGAAGTGTACGGAAGATTTATTAAACTTACTGTGTGTATTTTTTAAATATTTATTTATATATGAGCCTATTCAACCTTTTAAATAAACTTATTTGGTGCAGTACAAAACTATGCTAAAGCTGATGCTTTAGCTCAAATTCTGGTGTTGGATTTAAAAAAAATTACAATTAAATATATTTTCCTATACACATACGGAAGTGTACGGAAGTTTTATTAAACTTACTGTATGTATTTTTTATATATTTATTTATATTTACAAGCTTATTTAAAAGGTTTAATAACCTTTTAAATAAGCTTATTTGGTGCAGTACAAAACTTTGCTAATGCTTCGTGTCATTAAATATTGATTTCGTTTTAATTTCATCATGTTGGTGTCGTTTTCTATTCGTGTGTTTATGTCCCTGACTAAATACTTACTTCCTTACTTAGTATAGCATTGGAAGAGTTTATTTCTGTTGAAAATTATTCTTATTTTTGATTCGGTGGCGATAAACTACTACATTAAATTACGGTGAGGCTTACCCTAACATAAAAAAAGAATAATATTTATAAATTTAAATCACGATAACTCATCCGGCTACACTAGTGAGAACTCTACTGAAAATTTCACACTTTTTATCCGACTTTCACGACACAATAACGCCTTAACAACCACGAGATTTCTTACAACTACACTCCGATAACTCCGATAAGACGGTTTTTTAACATTATACTGGTGCCGAATTGTAAAGAATTTATCAACAAAAACGAAAACATCACTTTCAAACACTTTGAGGCTTAATTAAACACCTAACGTCGAGTAAAATGGAAAAGTGAATGAATTAATGGAGTTGTGACTGGACCTCTTCATGGAGAAAGGCAAAATAAAAACTAAATAAAAGATTTAATAAAAATACCTTTGACATCCTGGGCCAGAGCCTTCCATGTGCTGGAGTACCGGATACAGTGTCCGCACCAGGACGAATAGAACTGGACCAGCCAGGCCGAGGACGAGTTAGCAACCGTGGACTTCAGGCTGCTGCCGCTCAGGATCGTTAGCGGGTCTTCCTCCGTGTACAGCCGGGCTGCAGCACCCAGACACCCGGGAACGAGCCAGAGGAGGACCGCCGCCGCCTTAAACCAGAGCCGGGTCATCTCTGTCTTCGGAAGAAGAGGCATTCCGGGAGCATATGGTCAGAGAATCGGAAGATTGGTGGGTTTGTACAGAAGCGGACTGAATTGAGGAGACATAAGCTTCGCTCACGGCTACGTGTTTTCAAAGAAGACCAGGAAGAGCAGAGGTCTCACTCTGGAGAGAAAAAACCTACACCGTTAACTACACGACATGACACACGGGGGCTCTGTTGTTGAAGCGGAGCTTTAAGTTTAATGTGTAGAGTGAGATATCGTTACATAGACGATTTTTTTTCTCAAGCCGTGTCTGACGTCATTAAAGGATTGCATTTACGTGTGCTCGAAACATTTGCATTTTCTCTTAAAAAACAAATCAAAACAAATACCAGCTTTTCCTTTTCCTCCGTCGTTTAATTAATTTGCACATCTCGTTTACATAGTTCAAATGTATACGCTTGTCCAATCCAAATGAAAATAAAATAAAATAATTGCGAAAAAATGTTTTTAAACTCTTGAAATTATCAGTTTCATTTAGAATATCAACGTAAATGTTCACATTGACCGAACAGCTATAAACGCATCAAACAGTTTCTGTGATGATAAAAAAAAGAAGCTAAGTCATGTTTAGCTTCCTTTTTCTATTTTTGGCAGATTTTAAATAAAACATTGTCTCTGGAAAATGAAGAACTTGGGGTCGATGCAGATAAAAAAAGTGTTTTCAATGTATCAAAAGGTATGTTTTAACATGAATTACATTAAAAAATATATTTATTTATTTATTTATTTTTAGCGGGGACGTTTTTAGGGTAAATGTGCTCAGACGCCGTTCCTTCCTTTGGTCTGTTTTGGGGCAACGTTTCCGTAGTTTTTGTTACCATCTAGTGGTTAAACGTGGGACTGTAACAGCACCAAATACGTGTGAACTATTCTCATAGTTAATGATAATTAAGTTACGATAATATGCTAGGAATACCTCGATAAATAAATAATCGTGCTATAAGAAAAAATAAGTATTTTTTACTTGCTTTCTGTCTTTTTTCTTCTTTTTTGGACCGCTTTTAGAATTTAGTCAATGAAACGAAGACGGTTTTAAACATGTAAATTTTATTGTAACTTAAAAAAAAACTTTTTTACATTATTTTAATTTTGTAATAGACGTTTAATTGAATTTGGTTCTGGGTGAAAGATCGTTTCCTGTTACCACGTGATGCGTCACGTTTCCCTAGCAACAGGTCGCTGGACACAGGACAACGGTGAGAGTCGGCGAAGAAAAACTTTTATCTATTTAACTATTACTTTTTGTGTGTGTGTCGGGGGTCTGGGTGGTCGTGTGGGTCGACACGGAGTTTGGGACGGTGTAATTAATCTTCATCGGGATCAGAAAGGCTTAAAAGTGACTTTTGGAGATTTTTGGATCATTTTCCTTTTCGAACGTTTACGTGATACTTTGTGTTTCTCTAATTAGAAAATGCACATTTTCTGTATTCCTTCATGACGTAAATGACCGTTTCTGCTCTTCATCATATTCGTCAGTGTAACGGTGTCAACATGTCAACACCCAGACTGGGCGTGGTCAGAGACTCCATGTCGACTAATCCACTGCTGATCAAGGTGAACCAACGATCAACACCAATCAAAACAAATACGCTTCTGTTCAGTTTTTAATCCTATAATAATAACAACAATAACAACAACAACAACAACAATAATAATAATAATAATAATCTCTGTGAACACAGGCATCACTGGGTCAGACCAAGACCAGGGGCCTGTCACTTCCTGGTCCAGAGTACACCTTTGGATCCAGTAGCTCACTGCAGGACGGGGGCGTGGCAGAGGGTGAGTACCACCGAGACCACTGTCACGTTTTCACTTCCTCCGGCCTCCTCTGGATTCGAACCTTCAACCCACCGCAGGCTTAAAGTCATAATCTGATACCAGGACATTTCATTGTAACTGGCATTGTTGTGTTATTTTAAAAAAGAGTTGGTGACGACTCTTTGAGGTTTTTTATAGTCTAAGTGTTGCCCTGTAGGTTTTTGTCATCAGATCTATGGAAGAACGAGAGAGAGAGAGAGACACAGAGAGAGAGACTGGAAGAAAACATCACCTCACCGTTGCATTTTAAAAAATGACAACAAAAGACATCAACCTCCTTTTCTCTCTCTCTCTCTCTCTCTCTGTGTCTGTGTGTGTTTATGCATTAGCTGTCAGTGTGTGTGTGTGTGAGCCCTCAGGCGATGATTCCCTCTGGCATTCTCTCCTAAACACACAAATGTGTGTGTGTGTGTGTGTCTGAGTGAAAGGAACAACAAAACATTTAAACTGTTGTCAAAAAAAGTTATTTAAGGGTCAGTGTTCACAGTAATATATACATAGCAAAACAGGGGTGTCAAACCTATGGCCTGCGGCCCAAAACCGGCCCACTGGAGTGTTCAATCTGGCCCACTTGACACACATCTATATACATTTTTTTTTCTGGTTAACCTTGACAGCGTGAGTGTGAATGGTGTCCTTCATTTCTGTGTCCGGTTCAGTTCTGTCCGGCTGGAGGGTCCAGTTGAGACATGAGAATTCCGCCTCTCACCGACCGTCGCTCCCGGACTTCGTGTCTCTGAACCGAGATGCAGCGAAGGCCGGTGTGGTCACCTGCAAGGAGCTGAATCAGTACCGAGCCAAAGGGGGTGGGGCCAAGACCAAACATCATCCTCCCAAACAGCCAGCAGGTGGCGTCGTGGTTCCTGACATCACGTTCGGAGTGACTACGAGGTCAAACAACAATAGGTAAGGGGGGGCTGGGGAAACGGGGGGAGCGTGTTTCCTGTGGACGGCTGATTTGAGGCGGCTGACGCAGCAGTGACGATGTTTCCTTCAGGGCGCCGTCTCCTCTATCCGACCTCCTCGCCCACCAGTACGCTCGCCGCTGGGTGGATGAACAGCTGAGCAGGAATCAAACTAGCAGCCAGAAACAACAGCACAGGGTAAATTTTTCGTCTTTTCATAATATATAACAATTATCGTCAGACTAAGATTTTACTCATCTGTAATCTGATGACCCATTGGAAAAATACTGTTCTGAATCAGGGGTCCCCAACCTCCGGCCCGTGGACCTCCAGTGCGTAGGTCATTTGTTACCGGGCGGCAATAAAATATCATCCAGACTCCATTACTGACAGAATGAAATCAGAAAAAATACAACTTAAAACAGATCTTCAACATATTTCTGTGACCCCTGTTGGTCTAGAGAGGTACTGCAATAGCTTGTTAAAAATATTAGCTGGTTAATTTTTTTTTAAATTATGTATTTACTATATATTGTTTGCAAAAGGCACATAATTATCAGTACTTCACTTGCGTTTTTCAAAATAAAACAAATTTGAATAATTTGTGTGCATTAGCATCATGTGTAATATAATAAAAAAATATATAATTTTAAACAACAACAATTTATACAGAATATATATAAAGTAGTGGGTCCCTGCTCTGTCTCTCCATCAGTTCAAGGGTCTTTGTCCTTCAGAATAAAAGCCTGTTCTTAACTTGTATTCTGTAGATTAAACCAGGCTCAGAGACCAGGACCAGTCTACTGAGGAGGAGCAGAGCTCTGCCTGTCACACAACCGCTACTGAGACCAAAACGTTACGCTCAGGTAACACACACACACATACACAGAAGATGTATCTGAGAGCACCAGTGATCACCTCCTGCTCCTCATCCACAGGTTCCTCCCGCCCTGGAAACCTTCAGGGACCAGGAGACCCGGCTGAGAGCGCTAAGGACTCACGAGTCAGAGACAGGCGTCCAAGACGGGAGTCTAGGATCTGGGGTCTGAACCAGAGTCTGTTTTACACTAATAAACGTGGATCAATGTGTGTTTTTGTCTTTATGATCAAATCTCATTTTTTATAAGATGAAAAATAAAGAAATAAAATATAATAAGATGAAGAAATAAAATATAATATATATAATATATAACAAAAAAAATTAACTTTCTGGTTTAAATTAGAATTAATTAATTAATTGAATTTTTTTTTCTGGTGGTAAAGTTCAGGTTTGGATCGATTTAAACTTTCCGATACATTGAATATATGATTTATACTTCTAACTGTGTACCGATGGATACTGGCTGCATACTTAGATGAATACTAAAATGAATAAAATAATAATATAATTATCAAAAGTACTTTTTCTAAATTATATTTTGTATATATATATATATATTGTATTCAATATATGTAATGACAGTATATTAATTTATATTACATTTGTACAACGTGTACATTTTACTTTCTCTCTCTCTCTCTGTGTGTGGGTCTGTCTCGCCCCCCTCTGTCTCTCTCCATGGTGCTGAAATCAGATGCTCTGATTGATATATTCATGTGAATCAATTACCTCTCAGTCGTCATCACGTTGACTGAACTCACTCACTTTTTTTGCTTTGGTTTTCAAGTTTGTTTGTTTTTTACTACTTTCTGGAGTGACATCCTAACAATCTCAACTAACTCTGAACTGGTCCGGATGGATGCGTTCCGTATCGAAGCCCTGCTCTCTCTCAGCCCGCCCAGCGCGC